TTTTGTTTTTAATTTAATTCCCGTTTCCAATCGATTTACATAAAAAAAGAAAAAACTTGTTTTCAATCGGCAGCAATGATAAATTAATTATAAATCTAGCTAGTATAGGTAGCTCTGTAAGTATGGCTAGCTCTCTTCGTCTATTTAAAGTTAAACACATTCATTCGGATAAGCAATTTCATATTAGCATAAACTTATGAAATTTGCAAAACATATTTGGTCAGCATTATCTGATTGCTTGATATGATAGTCAAGCAATCAAAAAAAAAAAATATTGAAAAAAAAAAAAAAAAAAAAAACTAAGAGTGAGTATTATCAGTCTTATATCATAAGGTATATTGGATAGTCGGCTCCCCATAGTTTGCTGATCTGTCCGTTCAAATGGATCCCGAAAATATTTATTTCATTTAATACGTTTTCCAAATACTGTGTGATCTTAGTTATGGTCATACCACGGCCACCTTGAACTTGACTTTTCATTTTTTGATTTATTTATTTATTTATTTATTTACTTGCACATGAAACAACAGTCAGAATTCAATTGACTCTTAGAAGTAAATCTTATACTAATTATTATTAAAAACTGGTATAAAGTAAAAAATAAAATAAAAAATGAAATAATAAAAGAGAAGACAATAGAAAGAAAAAAGGCATTTGTGTGCACAGTTAGAACAGAGGCATACCCGCGACCGCGACCAGTACCGATTACAGAAGTTGCAAGGTGGAAGCCTTGAATCATTGCAAACATGCAAAAGCTTGGCAACCGATCACAGTAAACAACATGAGTAAATTTTCAAAGAATGCAAATTAGTTGAAATACGACGTAAGCAAATCGTGCATTGCTTTGCAGTTGAGACTTTAAAGAGTCCGATATTGAGATGAAGTCCGATATAGCGAGATTCTATAAGTTTCTGTAAACAACTTTGACAGAATTAAACAGCTCATAATTACATTTACATTGATTAAAGCTTAATGCGAGTATAGTGCCTAGAGACATTAAAGCTTACCTCACCTCAAATAGTGTGAACGAATCGATAGTAGTATTAATCAGCTTAATTAAGTAGGAAACGACAAAAACAAATCTACGTTTCTCGGGTGACGGTAAGGATAGCAGAAGCAAACTGTTTTCGTAAGTTGGCAGAGTGACAACCGGGGTAGGCGACAGTAAGGATAAGCAAAAGCAACGTATTTTTATAAGGAGGCAGACAGACAAGCGGAACAAACGGCAAGAATTGCTTTTGAACGGTTTCAACTGAATCAACATGACATCTATACGGAGAGGAGACCTACCACCACACACTAAAGGCATACCCAAGTATTAGTGTAGCTAAGAACATTTATAGGCTTTTTGTGATGTAAGGACCCATAAGCTGTTTCGACCACCTCTTAAATGAACTCTAGGATGGATCTAGCTTTACTTATTGAGACATACGTAATCTTTGGTTGAACAGATGTAGATATAGTATGACATAATTTATTTCACAAAATTACGTAATCAAATGTGATTGCTAAACGTTATAAAACCCTATAAAAGCAGTTTAATAAGGTCATCAACTTTACATGCAAGGACTTGGAAATAAATTGATGATTGTAAACATAAAGATGATTTGCAGCTCATTGAAGGAGCAAGTTAACTATAAAATTTCCAGAATTAATTGTTTATAGTTAATATCTTTATGTTGCTCAGGCAAATTTATTCATTTTCATTATTACATCATGCACGAAAATATGAATGTATGTATGTATGTATGTATGTATGTGTCAATTATTGTATTGATAAAAGGACGCGTGCATCATGTTTTTCTTTAATATTTGATTGCTTCGAATATTTGCTTTAACTTTGCATAACATGCGTAGCACTTTTTTTCTGACGATGGCCAACACAAATTTATGAAAGCCTTTCATGTCAAAAGTAGGATAATATTTTGTGCGAATAATATTTGCATGTTATCTTGTTGTTGTTGTTTGGCTATTATCCTTTCAATTCGATTTTAATTAAATTTTTTTTTAGGGGGGAGAGGTAACTTCATTAGTTGATGTTTAATATAATGTTAAGGGAGAAGAAATAAACTGAAACAATTTACAAAGACATTTCTTTTTGCAATTTTTTTTTTTTAAGATAAAAGAAAAAATATTAAATAGAAATTATTATTTTAACATTAACATGTCTCATATAATGACTCATAAAAGATTATAAATTAAAATCAAATTTTAAATTTTCTAATGAGTTATTTTTTACACCAAAAAAGCTAATAACAGTAGTCGGCCCTATTTTTTTGATCTCTTTTTAACAAAAAAAAAAAAAAAAAAAAATGGTACCATTCGGATAATTGCAGTGCGTCAAGAGTAATATATTCGTATATGAATTTTACAAGTTTCATGAAAATTAAAAAGCTTCTTTTTTTTTTTTTTTACCCACCACTGAAAGGTAGGGATATATTCATTTTGTTTTTTTTTTCTTTCAAGAACAAGCTTCAGATACCCCATAAAACATAACGTGAAATTCTGAATTGATGAAGCCAATCTGTCTGTCCGTCTGTCTGGTGTTTGTTGTTGGCACTTTTCTGGTGAAGATACCAACTAAAAATATGATAAAAATATTGAAAATTTTTGCACGCACGTGACTATTAAAAATTTGGCCAATTTAGTTCGACCAGAAGCCGGCAGTGGAACATAAAGTGGAAAACAACATCGTTTTTCCTAACAAAAACTTGTAAGCTTTTGCTCGTTACTCAGCTAGTTAAGGTAGATAGCTGATAAGTTCCACATTTACTTTACTTTTTACGTGCAAAAAAGGGGAAAAATCGGTCATGCCCACACACAGTTACAACTGATTGAATCTTTCTTCTATTCACTTATTTGAAGATATATTATCTGCCTAAAAATGGGTTAATTGTGATGCAAAAATGGTACACACCGCGACCTAGTGGTTTAATAATACCACCGATATAGGTTTTAAATAAAAGAAACTTGAGTGTAGAATGCGAAAAGCATAGTAATAAGTATGCGAGATTCGTCCTCTGCCTAAGATAACTTAAAATTGAAAATGTTATGAGATAATTTAATATTTTTTATATTACACAGTTATTACATAGTCGGTCTGCTACATCTGTTTCATTATATTTCGATCTTTTGTTTCACGATTAGTCAATTTGTTAACCACGTATTCACGTTGTCGGCTTTTTTTTTTTATGTGTGTGTGTGTAAGGTGAGATCATCTTTCGCTTTAGCACTTTTCTCTACGTTTCATGATTTAAATGAATAGATTCTAATTTTTCATTGCGATATCAATTTAGTATACAGTTAGTTGTTTTTGGCATTGATAGGTGACTTCATTTAATTTTTTTGTTAAAGAGAAAAACAAATACAAAAACTTTATGGTCTGGAATGGCCGACAATTAATTATCATACACCATTTCGCTCTAACATAATATTTCATATATTTTTGTCATCGAATATTTACTCGCTGACCTTTTTCTATATAGCGAGGTTCCAAAAATGGATTTGTGGGTACTGTACAAATTTTTAATCGAGAAACCGTTACATTCGATCAATATCTACCACAAAGTGTTAAAAATTGAGATTTGTTACCTTAGAAAAATGTATTTTTTTATGGCAGTGTTTATATGTGAGAGGCCCTGAAAAATACTACCGCACTCCATCCAGCCCATTTTGCATTTTCATAACCTTCGCCACTTGTAGTACAAGGTTAATTGCTTTTGTGCCCAGATGTGCCCGCCTTTTGGTATCGCATTAAGCTTCCTAATCCTACTGTCCGTCCGTACGTCTGTCCATGTCTTACTTGTCTATACTGTACGCTACCTGCGGCATATTAAATTTGTGCGGATATATGCAACACAGATAGCATTAGATCGAAGCAGTTTTACGACCACTGTTATAAGAAATTGAAATTTTCATAATTTCTCATCGTGAAAGTCGCTAAGTAAAACTATTTCGGCACATTAAAGTGATATGAAAAATGCGGATCAGACTTGAAATATAGGTGAATATAGGTGAATAACACTAAGATCAGTGATAGAAATAATAATTTTCCTGAATTTAAACTATCTCGTTCTACGATTTAGTCCTTCTTCCATATAAGGCTTTCGATGGAAAGTACGATTTTACATGTACATGAGACCAATTCAATTCCTTCTCTTTTAAGTCTATTCCGATCTACTTTCGAGATTTCGCGCAAAGCACGTATAACATTCCTTGTTACTAGTTTCGTTCAACGGAAGGAATTCGTTGTGCACAAGACCACAATAATCGGAGAAAACCCGTAATTAATTACCTTGAATTTTGATCGATTTTCAAATGATTTCTTCGTTTTTGATTCAACTTTTGCACAAGATTCGTTCGATTTGTTCGATTTGTTTCCGGATCGTATGCGTCGATCCAAAAATCATTTTCCGTAATAACGCCTTTCATTGCATTGTTCGATAGTTCTTTTGAAACAAATCATAAAAAATACTTCTTGTGCCGTACAACATGATCGTAGATCGAGTAAAAGATTTAGTAAAAAGTAGTTTTTTGGGGTATTACATGCATTCGCACAAAATTCCATCTTCTATCTTGTACTACAATCGGGTCAGGGTAGAATAATTTTTTTCTGAAAATTAAATTGCATTGCATTTGTAAATAAAGTCCATATAAGAAATTTTCGGCGATTTTATCTCGCAAGACCTACACAGTGACTGCACTCGGCTGCAAAGTCACGTTAAAATCACGTCACACACAGCAAATTGCCACAAATTCATAATATCCGCAAAATCGCCTTGCTTTTGCACCATGTTATGTTAGTGCTCCACTTCTTGGCATTGGAAATTGATGTGCTCTCAAATTAATGTATTTTCGTCTTTTTTACATATATACATTTTTTATTTATATATATATATATAT